TAGGGAAACTATGGTTTAAACCGATGATGTTCAAAGTGGTCTTTGTCGACCCCCAGGGGTTCAATCCAGTGTACAAGGAATCCATTTCAGCGAAAAAAGGGGGTGCGTTAATGGAATTAGGAGAGTGGTGACCAAACTTTTGTCTTTCCATACACAGATAGTACGTGCATATAAAGTTTAGTAGATAGTATGTACACTAATACAGACATTTCACAACAAACAAGATATGAAGATATGGAGTTATAATTGTTTAGATAAATGTATAAAACTTAACAATTATCTTCTCATAAAAAGTTTCTCACTATATAGCAAAACTTTTTTGTTAATGAGATCAAGTAACAACACGTCCACCTGGTGGTAAGTGGCACGCCTGTCCACAACAGTAGCAGTACCACTCAGTAACCTGACACATAAGTTGAGAAGTCCCATGTGCCATCATTCATAACCGGAATTTATCAAAGTACATTTAGCACTGTGTACTTAGCTGATGAAAACAAATTTAAATTTGTAAAAAATCTGTATTAGAAAGGTAAGAAAAAACGTACACGTGGTCTACGACACAAAAAGCTTGGGAATCTTTGGTTTAAAATGACGAGTTTTTAGGAATTTGCAATTTTCTCTGGAGAATTTTCCGAGTAGATATTATTCAGAAGCAGCATTTAAAATGAAATTAATTTAACAAAAAAGAAACAAAATAAGGTCAGTAATAATAAATAAGCTTTCTACATCAGAATGTTGAGGGCCTTATATTTGATGCGATACTGTTTCCTTTTTTATATTGCGAATGGCTCTTTTCGGTCCCGTTTTGCTTATGGTGCACCATTTGCGCCTTTTGCACCATTTTAGGGAAAATAAGTACGTTCTTACGTACTGTAAGTATTCCATTTTGATCACGTGCCACTAGAGAGCGCCAGAATATTGATTGCATCCGGGTGCTACATGAGCTAGCGCCGGCCCTGGGCTCTGTCATAATTTTGTTTCCGAAGTTGCGTCTCTCAAGTCACTATTGCATTACAAAGTCTTATGCCTGAGCATATTCTCTAACAAAACTGTTGAATAACACTATACCAATAGTTATACAGCATTAATTGCGGCCAGTCTGATGTAACAGCTATTAAACAATGCGAAAGCGGCGAAAGCGTCGCCATTAATGGATCAACACGGGCCATTTCATTTTTTATGAAGAACTCGTGATTGGGCATAAATGTTGCTTTGTTTATTTTATCTTTAGAATCTGATAACAATTATTAGATTGAGAATTCTCTGTTCACATAACGTCGAATGAAAGAAAATAAAATTTATAGGCAATATATTTGTTATATAGTTTTTTTAATGCCTAAGTTAGGAATTGTAAAAGATTTCGTCGCCTTACAGTGAAAGCGTAGCCTCGGCTACGCGTAGGTACTTATATATTTTAACACATTTTTGTTAAAGCAAAATTTCTTTAAATATATACTTTATTAGAGTAATCTAGTAATCTAGGGAGCTATAATTTTACTAGTTTAATGATAACTAAAAATAACATGCATTTGCTATATTTTATAGCATCCTTGTTTGTTCTTCCTGAAAAAATACGTTCAGATCGCATACTGCGTATTCAGTTTATGTGACATTTTGGTTTAAGAAATATACAGGGTTACTTGTAAAATCGGTACCTCCAATGGACACTCCTCCAACTTAATCTTTGGACCTGCTCTGTTTTTATTTTGTTTTATGTTTCTTTATTTTAACAAAGTTGGCGTAGTATTCATTGGAGGTGTCTAACAACCTCACATGACTGTATTACTAACATCACAAACAACAACTGTTGCTCCATGACTTAATAATTAACCAGAAATTTTACAATAATAAAAATATTGAAGTAGATCGCTCTAAACGATTATAACTGTGCAGTACGATGCAAAACGCAAGAGCGGTGCGGGATAGGACGCTTGCACATTTGAACGTACAACCTTACTACCAAACACTTGTCTAAAAATTGTCAAATAGTAAACAAAAACTTAAAAGTTTGTTTTAGGTAAACCCATTATGTTTGGTAAAAAGTCATGGAACAAGTTCTAGTTTATGGTGTTAGTAATATTGTCATATGAGTATTGTTAGTGTTTTACAAAAAACCCTGTATATGTTTTAATCATTACGTAGGTATGCCTATTTGACTACAAACCTCGATTTACAATAGCATATTTAGTTGTAAATAGTTCTTGGCGTCGATTTTGTGTGTTAATGGGTTTTAGCCAGATTTAAACCGGGCGTTAACAAAGCGCCCGGTTTAAAACCCGGGTGCTTACCCATCAGACAGTTAATAGTCGATAACCATGACGTACAATGCCTTAGTTATAATCAGTTGACTTACACCCGTCATGTTAATGTCCCACTGCAATATTTTCTGCTTTTAAACAATGGTAAATTCTCTTAGTAAGTAATATTGTAAAATTACGCTAATCGTTACTTTTACCAGTGAATTACATTTTGTAAAAGGGCGTGGATCCTTTACGGAACAGCCCGTATTATCTCTTTTTTTTTACTAGCCCACACAAAGTGTATTTCAAAGATGCTTCTGTAATGATATTTGTGGATCTGTTTCAATCTTTTAGACGTTTTTAAAAGTTCACTTTAATGTTTTCTTTGTCGTTGTTTTTGCCAGTTCATTATATCATACGTTCGTTGATCTACATAATAGCTGATAGTTAGGACTTAATGCGTCACGCGTCCTCGAGACACACGGTCTCTCTAAAGCCGGGTACTCACTAGCGAGCTGTAAGCTGTGTGTGTATACGTGGTTCGCGAACTTGTCGCGAGCGGAATGTGTGCGGTTCGCAGTGAGCCGACGGCCACGTCTCAAGTTAAACACTAGAACATAGGTTCCTAAACTTTTTGGTTCACCGCCTATTTAGGCACGACAAATAAATTTCAACGCCCACCATCGCAAAAAATAATTGAAAGCACGTATTTTTTTAGGTCGGGACCACTCTGGGAAACTATGTAGTAGAACGTCGTTACTGTATCAGTGTCGTTACTGTCACAGTCTGTTAATGAGACCCAGCTTAACGATTTTGGTACTGTAGTGACCTAGACGGGGTAACCAAGGGTCAGAGTAAACCGACTGTCGGGAAGACAGAGGACTAAAATCAATGTATATTTTATACTATTCCTGTTGAAATAAGATACAAATTGAAATTCTCTAGAGATCGACCTCGGAGCATCGCGGTGCATTTCTCTCTGCATCTCAGAGCATTGAAATTTATACCTTTTCACTCACCATTTAAATACAAATTTTATCATTTAATAACTTATACAAATTTGTTAGAAAACAACACAGTTTAACAACATATAAAATTTCAAATTTATAAATATTTTTTTTTTTCACTAAAATCGCCAGAGACACAAATTAATATAGCAATAGGTTACAAATAAATTTAATTTGATTTTATTTAAATTTTTAGCAAATTTGAATATTTACTTTTATTCCTCACTGGGCAGTGAATCATTAAAAACATCCAGATCATATAGTTAATGAAACTGGTTATAAGTTTTAACTCTACTTACAGGAGCAGAGATACCAATATTAGTCCTAGAGACAGGAGCTTTAACGGTGTATAATTTCTTGGTCTTACATTCAGTCTAGGAACAATGAAACTAACGTTAATTTTTTAGGCAAACATGGTACGTCGTCGCTTATATCAGGCTATATTGTAGTCAAACGTGTGTTTGTTTTATATAAAATCATACATATGCTTTGTTCCGGATGTAAATAGAGTACAACTTAGGCTCAATTTATATTCCTGCGTAATGGAGCGGAAGCGAATTTTTGTAACATAGCATGATGAACTTTATGGTCAATTGTGTAACATACAAACTAGAAACGAGCCAACATTTTGCCCAAGAATTGTACAATATATTTTATTATACAAACATTCGCACACAGTACAGTAAAAAAAGATTAAACTGTATTACAGATGTAGTGAATAATCCTTTCCTTTCGTATTTTCTCGGAAATGTTCGTTTTTGTCTTACTACTTCACTCGCACTCAGTACCCCTCGAGACAACGTAGGGAAAGGTCGCATTGCAAGAGGAAGTATCTATATAGAGTAGTTAATACCACAGAAATATATTTATGTTAGATTTTGTGATAAACTTCATGGACTCGTGTATTAATGCAGGCCACCTATATTTTGATAGACCTTTTACATGTCACTCTTGTCTGTCATTTTTGTAAATAATAAACATTGATTTTATTCGATCCACATTAACAATTTATAACTTAAAGCACTAAGAAAAGGGAAACGTTTAGATCGGCAAGCCTGCGAAGTTATTTTCAATATTTATTTATATTTCTTAACTGAAAATGATAAATTCAAACATACCAACTATACTGCTTACTTTTGTAAAGTCCAAAAACGAGTTTCGGAGGCCAGTGGAATTTCTCAACGAACAGTAAATAAAATATTGCAAAAAGAATACATAAATCAATCTACCTCCAATAGTCCGAAGTAGGCAAAGTTGGGTAGACCAAATAAATTATTTTGTCTAGGTCTTGACGATTTTGACTACAACGTTATACGCCGATTAGTGTATAATTTCCATTTGATATACAAACAAGTACCTACAATTAAAGCCCTGAAGTCCAAGTTATCCGAAGCCATAAATTGTAAGGGATGTGACTTTACGCTATGAAAAATTCTTAGAAAAATGGGATTTCGGTATAAAAAAGTTGAAAACAACAGAAAATTACTTATCGAGAAAGATGATGTTCGTTTAAAAAGAGTAAAGTTTTTAGCCGCGATAAAAAAGTACAGATTGCAAGGGAGAGAGATTGTTTATATGGATGAAACCTACATCCATACCTCACATTTGGCAGGTAAAAGCTGGGCTGACTCGTCAGAAAACGGAGTGAAACAGTTAATTTCTAAAGGACAACGTCTTATAATAGTGCACGCTGGTAGTAGAAAGGGGTTTATACCTATGGCATTGTTAATGTATCAGTCTACTGATAAAACAGGTGACTATCACAACGCGATGAACAATGAAAACTATGAAAAATGGCTTCGTAATCAATTCATTCCAAACTTAGCTCCACATTCGGTACTAGTAGTAGATAATGCTGCATATCATAATAAGTACGTAGAAAAACCTCCTAATTCAAATACCCGTAAGCAAGACATGATTGATTGGCTATCCAAACTTAACGTTCCGATTGATCCGTCATTAACAAAAATTGAAATATATGAAATTATTTGCAAGTACAAACAAGACTTTGTAGAATACTCTATAGATAAACTTATGAACGAATATGGACACAGCGTACTAAGATTGCCACCATATCATCCTGATTTCAATCCGATTGAAAACATATGGTCTCAAATAAAGGGATACGTATCCAAAAGAAACATCAGTATGAATATGACTACTGTGAAACATTTGGTACAGGAAAAGGTTAATATGATTGGTTCCGATGTTTCGGCCAAAGTATGTGACCACGCCATCAAATGCGAAAACGAGTACCGAAAACACGAACCTGAGTTGGAAAATTATATGGCTAGTTTTGTAATCAACGTTCATGAAAACTCTGACGATGATACACCAGAAAATAGTTCTGAATCTGACTGTGATATGGAAGTTGGAAGTATTGTTTCGCATCACACTGTCCACCCCGCTCCTCCTCCTCTTATCCCGCTGTCATAATCGAAGTCGTTCATCCAATCAGAAAATCATATTTATTTATATTCATTTCTCTGCTGGTTTGTTTTGTTTTATGTTGAGGTGTCTTTTTTGTTATGTCATAGTATTTTTAATTAGTTAAAAAAATTAATTGTTATAAAAAAGGTCTACAATATCCAACTGTAGTAGACTTTTGGGGTTCCAATCCTTATAGAATCATTAGATCATCCCAACCGGAATTTGGTTTTTATCAGTGCGTTTTATTGAAATAAAACGTCCTCGGTAACTAGTTATATTTTTGTTTACCTAACGAATTCTTTATATGATAGAATCGTGGTGGTTTTAACATCTCAGTGTAATATACGTCAAACGGGCAGTTTGACATTTGACATTGATAAATAAAGTATGCGATTTATTTGATACCTACACGTAATTTAATAATACAGTAATTCATAGACACATCGGCACCATTCGGGTGTTATCGTTGTTCCGAGTTTTGCCGATAGGAAAGGATTATTCACTACATCTGTACATATTCGAAATATCGGCCGCCATTTTGGTTTTACGAATTTGATTTTTGAATAAAAAACATTCCTTCAATTAGCTATTGTAGGTAAGTACATAATTATATCCAAATAAAACTATTTGCATACAGGCTCCGCGACATTTAGATGACGAAAATAAACAGCCCGAAATTACCATTTTACACAGCATTGTTACTGTTACGTCATTGGGGTGCGCCTGCTCAGAGAAAACGCTTCGAGTTGCGCAAGAGTTCTGAACTCATGACATTGAATTCACTATACTGTTTGGTCGTTCACGTAAGGATATGATTTTAATGAGATAAAGTTGACTGTTTGGAGAATATTATATGGTGTTAAAGTTTAGTGAAGTTGCGTGTTACGTTTTTTGTTAAAGATAAATTTTTATATTGCTTCTTGGCAGACGAGTTTTTATTCATATGTCGAATAGCCTAACTAACTCAATAAGATGTTTCAGGATTGTGAAACGGTGAGTTAATAATAAAGGCGTAGGGATGAATTATATATACGACTACTATCTATACCTTTGAACTTATGGAAATTCACAAATGCCTGAACTCACAGAAGCCTGTTCAATAAAAGAGTGTAGAGCAGTGTGTCTAGAGTACTGTCTTTTGATTAATTGAGAAGGAACTACGTCTATCTTTTATTTAAATCTTTTTGGTCATGTTAGTAGCTATACAAATGTTTTTCTTTTAAAACTACAAGCCAAACGGATTATTCAGGAATGGGCACCCTAATCTATTTGTGCTCATTTCAACAGAGCACGAAAGACCTTCCGTGAAATGTCACTGAGTATTTTTCTATTGCAGGGCTCGGGAACCTTCCGGGTGGCGAAGCGAAATAATTGAATGACTACCTCCGCTTCGCTTTGAGTTTATTTCTGATAATAAATTGCTTCGATATTTAAAGTTATTAAAATTAGTCTGCGTCTACTTTAAAGATGTCTTTTGCTACATAATTTCTTCAGACGACACACACGTCAACGTAATAATTATAATAATATAAAAGAAAATAACTACGACATTCGTTTGACGTTCGACAAATAAAACATTACGACATAGTGGGAACGCGCCTTAACGCCTTCATAGGCGGTTAATACAACAACAAAATACGATGCAATCGGGTTAGTATAGTGTACTCTAATACGTTACTATTGTTGTATTAGATTACTTGTATATCATAATACGAATTTTCGGTGAAATGCATATCTCTTACGTCCGAGTAATAGCTCCAATGAATTGTCCAAGCAGGTTGATATTGACCTTTTTAACACTAGTTGCATCGGTGAAGCGTCATTATTAGCAGTTTGTTTTTTGGCGAGTAGGTAATTACTAAGTGTTGCGAAAATGTATATAGTATAAGTTAGTAGGTATATAGGTATAATTTACTGCTCATTAACTTAATGTGTGTCTATCGGTGAGGACCTAAACTTGGCTCTCCATTATTATTTCAGTTTTTTATTCTGTAAGATAGCCGTTGGTCTTCCAATAAGTTAAAATAAAAATAATATAGCAAGTACCCGTCAAAGTTATGTCTTTGGAGCTAGTATAATACTAGTGATTTATCGATTATTGAAGTGATACTTAATTTGGTTGACAGACACTTGTTAGTTCGAAAATAATGAAAAGTTGTTGGGAATTTTTCAAATAATATCATCGATCACCATATTTAATTTTTATGCTATTTTTACTAGGATTAACTGTATATAGCCACGTGAACGGGAAAGAGTCTTTTTCAACCTCGACGCTGGCAATATCGTCGTGGAAAATGATGGGACCATTATAAACTGTATCCTCATTCCTCTGTATGATATTTTTACCCCTAAGAGCGTTCGTCAAACGTACTTGCATCGATGCAATAGCCTATAAACCCCAATCGCGCGTTTGTATCGATGCAGTCGCGCGCTTGCATCGCGTTTGCATCGCTGCTTATAATCGCGCGCGCGTGTGTAAAGATGAAAGATGAAAGAGAAGAACAGAAAGTAGTATATGAACAAATGGTAACACTGAAGGTTTGTTTTTACTTTGTATCATTCAATGATATCTATGTACTCTCGGTTTCTGTGCCATCAGTATCCAATTCAACCTCGCTACTTTGTTTTAAGTCATGCTTCCAACGGACCTGTGGTCTCCCTCTGAGGCGTTTTTCACTCCACGGGTCGCCATTCGAGGACCGCTTAACACCAGGAGTTTTGTGATATATGCGACTCAACGTTCGAGTCTCAGCCACATATTAAACAAAAAAGAAAACACTATAACTATTGATAGTGTTTTGTTCGGAACATATACTTTCTGTGAATGTTCTTGTATAAAGATTGAGAAGTCGTTGTCTTATTGTATACAAAAACTTAAAGTAGGTAAATTTAAAAAAAAAGTCGGTGAAGTCGTGAAGTCACTATCTGTAAGCCAGCAACTCGTCGAAACTAATTCATTGAACCCAAACACAGTACTCTAGTGTAAGTAATTGAGGGGTTGGGTAGTCTGCAGACTGACCTGGTCATCAGATCAAGGTTATGATATTATTGCAATGTCATTGGATTTCAAATTTTAATTTGATCGGACAAGTGAAAATTAAAAAAAAATCATTTTATGACTGAGACGACTACACGAGAAAATGAGCTTGGGTCTACTTTCGTTCTCTTTACGACATCTGTCCGAAACAATTGTTGCTGTCAAATAATTAATACTCATCGTAATTAAAAGACAATGTCAAGTATGAAGCTTCATTCTCATTATGCCTCTTTCAATTTTGTCGAGTATTACTTACTTGACAGTAATTATTTCGGACGGAGAACAAGAGAACAGGATGTTCTCAAACATGGCTGAACTCACCACAAGTGAATTAGTCCATCCGTTTGAGAGCTGAGAAAACGATGCCGTAAGCAGATACATAAACAAAGGCTTTCAAACTTTTATATCTGTTTGTTCCCCTGTTTTTGTGTCTTTTTTTTCTTGTAAAGGATTTGTACCAAAAATATTGGCAATCAATTCGATGATGTAAAAACAGTTTGACGTTGCGAAAGAACTTGGTCTAATTCGTTTCGTCGTTTGACTGGTATTTGTTTTGAGAGGCTTTTGAGAAAAGAAATAAAAATATTATACTATTTTTAGTAGGTTTTATTCTCAAAGTTACGCAAAATATTTCATGAAGCAATGCTGTATACCTCAAAAATACGCACGTGTCTACAAAAAGCAGTCGAATTTTCGAGCGAGCCTGAGAAAATTTAATCAAGCTTGTTAATTGGTTTTGGTAACATAAAAGGACCGAGCTCTGTTTGAGTAACAACTTGTTTCTTAAGGGTCAACAGTGTGCGGAGAAATATCATGACCTACTTTTATAGAAATCGTTTGACACATTTCTAATTTAATCTTCTTTATACCGCTGACATTAATGCAAGTAAACATGTAAAATAGTAGAGTATAAATAAATAAAAATAGGTCTGGTTTCAGACCAGTGCGGATTTTTCTGCGGACCGTCCGCGCGGAGCACCGGAGCGACGTAACACTTGTGGCGTAAAACGGCCCATTCGCTACCTGCATGGCAGTCCGCGGCGCAGGCAGGAGACACACACTAGTCTGCGTATGGCCCACGTGTGGAGTGTCGCTGGACGCTTTGCAGTGACGTGGACTAATACTCGATTCTACGCATGCGGAAAGCCTGCAGGAGGACAGTCTTTACGGACCGTACGCGCAGCCGTAAAACAAGCCTTATACAGAAAAACATCCATGCTTAATGGTTTGACCTGCCGCTTCTCAAGCAGTGGACACAGGTTTATTCAGATTTGGACGTGAAATTTATGAGCGAAATAGGAAAACGTCGTGAGGAAACCTTCACGTATCTGGTACGCATTTTAATGAAGTATGTGACGTTTTTAATACGCATTGGAGCGCGTGGGAATTACACCTTAAGCCCTCCTATTGTGGGAGGAGGCCGGTGCCTTGCAGTGGGATTATATTTATGCTAACTATTATTGTTACTTATAGACATAAAATCGTAACTAAACTAACATATTTACATATTTATAAACTAACATATTTGAATATCGACTTAGTGCCAACCTTACTCAATAATTATTTAAAAAAATGGAAATTAAACAAAATGTTTTCTTTGTAGATTTTTTGATAAAGCAGAAAAATAAAAAATGTGTTACGTCTTTTTATTTATGTTTCAATTGATCCATTTGATGCAAATTGACAACTCTAAAATTATCCGCACTTAATTTTTAAATTTTTAATGAATGAACGATATTTCACAATGATATTCAATTATTTTTGAGAAATTACTTCATTAGATTGTTATAATTATTAATACAAAGATCGAACACGAAGAATTTTTTCAAAAGCACAGAAAAATACGTAAGATCCTTAGAAGGTAGCTTCGTTTGCACAGCGTCTAGCACGATTTGCTGGAAGACGCTGGTTCGAATCCAGCCGGATCGAATGAATTTTTTGTTAGTGTTCGATCACAAAGATCGCATTA